GAATGTGAGGTTGGGGGCACATGTTTCTTCAGATAACCACTAAAACCTCAGAAAAATGAAAGGGGCAAGGGAAGGTGTCAGACGGGGAAACCTTTATCTCTGTCCTTCAGGCAGTTAGAAAGCCATGATTTAAAATTAGGGCTGTCAAGCAATTCAAAAAATTAATCATGATTAAAAAATTAATTGTGGCGTTAAACAATAACAGAATATTATTTATGTAAATAATAATTATTAAATAATAATTTTGGCTGTTTTCTACATTTTCAAATATATTGATTTTAATTACTACACAGAATACAAAGTGTACAGTGCTCACTTTATATTTATTTTTGTTTACAAATATTTGCCCTGTAAAAAACAAAATAAATAGTATTTTTCAATTCACCTCATACAAGTACTGTAGTGCAATCTCTTTATCATGAAAGTGCAACTTACAATTGTAGAATTATGTACAAAAAATAACTGCATTCAAAAATAAAACAATGGAAAACTTTAGCGCCTACGAGTCCACTCAGTCCTACTTCTTGTTCAGCCAATCGCTCAGACAAACAAGTTTGTTTACATTTGCAGGAGATAATGCTGCCCTCTTCTTCTTTACAATGTCACCTGAAAGTGAGAACAGGCGTTCTCACGGCACTGTTGTAGCCGGCGTCACAAGATATTTACGTGCCGGATGCGCAAAAGATTCCTGTGTCCCTTCATGCTTCAACCACCATTCCAGGGGACATGCTGCCATGCTGATGACGGGTTCTGCTTGATAACAATCCAAAGCAGTATGGACTGACGCATGTTCATTTTCATTATATGAGTCAGATGCCACCAGCAGAAGGTTGATTTTCTTTTTTGGTGGTTCGGGTTCTGTAGTTTCTGCATCAGAGTGTTGCTCTTTTAAGACTTCTGAAAGCATGTTCCACACCCCGTCCCTCTCAGATTTTGGAAGGCACTTCAGATTCTTAAACCTTGGGTCGAGTACTGTAGCTATCTTTAGAAATCTCCCACTGGTACCTTCTTTGCATTTTGTCAAATCTGCAGTGAAAGTGTTCTTAAAATGAACAACATGTGCTGGGTCAGCATCCCAGCCTGCTATAACATGAAATATATGGCAGAATGTGGGTAAAACAGAGCAGGGGACATACAATTCTCCCCCCAAGGAGTTCAGTCACAAAATAAACACATTATTTTTTTAATGAGCGTCATCAGCATGGAAGCATGTCCTCTGGAATGGTGGCCGAAGCATGAAGGGGCATACGAAGGTTTAGAATATCTGGCTACAAAATTGCCATGTGAACGTCTGTTCTCACTTTCAGGTGACATTGCAAATAAAAAGCAGGCAGCAGCATCTCCCGTAAATGTAAACAAACTTGTTTGTCTGAGCGATTGGCTGAACAAGAAGTAGGACTGAGTGGACTTGTAGACTCTAAAGTCTTACATTGTTTTGATTTGGAGTGCAGTTATGTGACAAAAAAAATCTATATTTGTAAATTGCACTTTCACGATAAAGAGATTGCACTAAAGTACTTGTATGAGGTGAATTGAACAATACTATTTATTTTGTTTATCATTTTTAAAGTGCAAATATTTGTAATAAAGATAATATCCAGTGAGCACTGTACACTCTGTATCCTGTGTCAAGTATCAGAGGGGTAGCCGTGTTAGTCTGAATCTGTAAAAAGCAACAGAGGGTCCTGAGGCACCTTTAAGACTAACTTGCATCTGATGAAGTGAGTATTCACCCACGAAAGCTTATGCTCCAATACTTCTGTTAGTCTTAAAGGTGCCACAGGACCCTCTGTTGCTTTGTATCCTGTGTTGTAATTGCAATCAATATATTTGAAAATGTAGAAAAACGTCCAAAAATATTTAATACATTTCAATTGGCATTCTACTGTTTAACAGTGCGATTAAAACTGCGATTAATCTGGAACCCACATAGGGTAGCATCAAACACAGCCCATACTCGATGGGGACCCCATCCTGAAATAAATCTTTCCCGAATGCCCCTTCTGCCCTTCAAACAACCCCCAACCTTGCCAAGTCATCATCAGACTAGGACCCACCAATGCCAAGTGGCACCAGACTCTGCCAGAACAACAGATGCAAAATGTGCAGGCAAATCTCCACTGTCATGATAATCAACATCCCCCATAATACACCTTTCTAAATCCATGGGTCCTGCACATGCCTATCACAACCTGCGGGGTACCTCATCCAGGAGCGGCGGAAGCCCCCTAAAAATGGGGGGGGGCCCACTACCGCCCAAACTGTGGTCCTGCCCTACCCCTTACCCCTGAGGCCCTGCCCCTTCCCCAGGGTTGGGTTGAGGGTTTCATGCTGTGCAATTCATGTAGGCAAAATTTTACTAAAATCACAAGGCCTCTTTACGGTGGAAGGCAGTAGGGGCTGATTGCCATTTGGGAGAACAGGATAATGAAATACGTTACCTTGATGAGGAAATGGAATAGGGAAATTTGGGGGAAAAGCCTGGTACAGTACCATAGAAGTCTATGGGGATCAGAAAACCTTCTGACTGGTTCAGAAAAATGTGATGCATCCTAATATTTTATGATGTATGATTCTGCAAAAGGCTGTGTGGTTAAAGACGACTTGCTAATTGGCTCAGGCAGTGGGGTGTGGTTTGTTGCATGCTCCTAGAGCCGGGAATTTTCGGTGGGGTAGATTCATAGGTTCATAGAGTTTAAGGGCAGAAGGGACCGTTAGACAGGGCAGGCCGTAGGGAAATGGCACCCTGGGTGAACTTGTATTTTGGTGCTCCGGCCTCCGCTGCATCCCTGAGCTCCCCACCCATCCCCCAAGGCCTCCGTTGCCCCCCAACAATCCCTCCCATTGCCCCTGGTCCCCACTGCCTCCCCAGGCTCCCCACCCATTCCCCCATCACCCTGGCCCCCGCTGTCTCCTCAGGCTCCCCACCCCCTCCATCGCCCTTGACCCCCGCTGCCTCCCTCCCATTGGCCCAAGCTCCCTTCCATGGCCTCGCACCCTAGTCCAGCACTCTCCTTCCCTCTTGACCATGGCATCCTGGGTGATCGCCCACCTTGCCCACCCGTAAGGCAGGCCCTGCCATTAGATCATCTAACCTGACCTCCTGCATATCACAGCCCATTCACATTCACCCAGTTCCCCCTGTATGGAGCCCAATAGCGTGTGGTTCACTACAGCATAACTTGTGGTTTTTTGGCTAAAGTGAACCTTCCAGAAAGACAGCCAGTCTTGATCTGAAGACCTCCGAGATGGACAAACCACCCTGCCCTCCTTGGTAGTTTGTGCCAACGGTTAATCACCCTCACTCACTATGACAAAATGTGCCTTATTTCTAATCTGATTTGGTCTGTCTTCAGCTTCCAGCTGCTGGTTCTTGGTCTGCCTTTCTCAGCTAGATTACAGACCCCTTTAGTGCCCAATCTTTTCTCTCTACGAAGGTCCCTATACACTGGAACCAAGAGTCACCTTTCAACATCTTGTTGATGAGCTAAACAGGTGGTGCTCTTTATGTCTCTTGTTTCAAGGCATTTTCTTCCCCTCACCCCCCTTTGAGTTGTTCTTGTGGCTCTTTTCTGCGTCTTCTTCAATTTTTAAACATCCTTTTAAAGTGTGGACCCCAGAAATGAGGATTGTGGAATCAAACATTTTATGTCATGATCACCGGGCCGCAGCAATCACCAACTTCTAGTCCAGTGATTAATTCATCTTTGTCCATCACAATGAGGTCCAAAATATTCACTTTCTGTTGCGTAAATGGCTTTTCTCATCTTTCTCCCGGCTCCCCCATCCCTTTTAAAAACTTTCTTGGCCATCTCTGAAAGGCAGCGGTAGAACAGCCAGACCCCGTACACACGTCATTAATCCTAAAGTTATATTTACAATTTCTATCAGGAATCTCTTGCAGCCTTTGTGCATGTGTTTAATTTATTTAGAAATGTTCTAACTGCATACAAATATTTGTTTCTGAAAATCAGAAAAATGCATGATATATATCATAGAAATATATATAAACATTTCTCATTTATTCCTCTGTTATTAAGTCTTTGTTGCATGTATTTAATTTATTTAGACTTGTACTACTGTAGTGGTTGCGTACAATTATTTAATCAATTTGATTTAGATTTGTGCTAATTGCACACAAAGTATATTTTACACTAAAAATAAGGAAGAAGCATGACATTTATATTTATTCGTTTATTCTGAATGATTCCAGTAATGATACATTAAAAAAAACTTTAAAAAAAAATCTTGTTTTTTCCCCAAAATGGCTGAACGGCGCCATAAATGCACATGTGACCAAACCTGAAACCTAGGGGTCCTGGGAAAAGTAGGCAGGACTTCCAGAGCCATCTGGCCGTCTCATTGGACAAGAAGGAGGGGCATGCAGTCTAAAGCTGGAGTCTGATTGGTGGATTATAATAGCTGGGGGAGGGTCCAGGCATGGAAACCGGTCAGAACTATAAGAACAGGAAAGGTGCAGATATCACTAGTGACACAAAGCTGGGCATTGGAGCTGGTTGGGAATTTGTCACTGGATCATGCTTCCATCAGAAAATGCCGATTTGTTGAAGTTGAACTGTTCCGTGGGAAAGTGTCAATGGCAACAAAACTTTGGCAGGAAGCAGGCGGGTCCCTTGCCTGCGCACACACTTCCTGGCTCTGCGGCAGCCTGCCTGGCAGTCGGCTGGGGAGTCCGGGCTTCCAGGGTTCCCAGCGCCGGCCAGCCCGGCAGGTGGGCTGCTGGGGAACCAGGTGTCTGAGAGCTTCCAGTCTCACTGACTTGTGCTGTGGAACTGGGAGTCCACTGTGGAACACGGACAGACAGA